TGAGGGCGGGAACCCAGGTACCCCTAGGGACTAGGGTAACCTGCACTACGACCCGCAGGACCGTATGCAGGAGCAGTGGTAGGCCGTCCCGAAGGACCCTGCTCAACGAGCTTGCGCTCCTCGAGCAGGCGGGGATCGGTTCACGCGGCCGTATGCACCATGTCGCGGTTCGGTGGCGGGACTAGGTGGTCTCGTCCCTCAGCTGCCCTCTGAGCCGCCGAAATAATGCGACGCGTATACGGTGGTAGAACCTCCCGCGAGACCCAACACGGGCCCACACACGACTATCCTGCGGGCTTCCGCGGGGACCGTACCGTTTTCCCCCCACGGTACGGAGGCCGCTCCCCGGGGGCATGCAACTGACCTGGCCCTAGAGCGCACCAACCACCTAACTGCGGGCCATAGCCGCGCCATCCCGTGCCTGTTGTACTAACAGGCTGCCCTATGAATGATACACAGACGGCGTAACAACCTACAGCGCTCTGTCGGGCCCCCTTGCCCTGGCGCTCCCATCGTCCCTACGTCCGACGTCCGACAACTACACATAATTACAATGACTCACGTTTATTGTCTCCTAATCGCACAATTCGACGACCTACTCCTCGTCCTCCTGCCAGCTCATGGAGTCGACCATCCATCCATCTGGAGACAGCGATGACAAGCGGCGCTCTGTGGTTGCCCACAGCCGGTCGCACCTTCCGGGCTAACAGGTGCGAGCTGCCGCCAGTGCTCCGCCCAGTGGCAGTGTGCCCGGTCACACCGCCAATCCGGGCCTCATTGCGGCACCGAAGTGCCCGGCGCTCCCCTCCTCCCGAAGGGAGAGAACGCACCGACTGGCCAGCCTGCCGCCTTATAAGGCGCCGCCTGGGGGCGTGGCCCGCGTCGCGGCTTCCCTCGCTCGCGGCGCGGCTCTGGCATTAGAGCACCACAGAGCCCAGGCGCACGGCCGCTCGGCGACCAGAGTCGCGATCCGCGACAAGACTGAATGGTCAAGGAGGAGGATATTGATTTCGAGAGGGTTCGCCACGTCTGTTTTATTATGAATCAGCTGCATTCAATGTTACTTTGACTTCCGCTACAACATGTAGACGATGATTTTCCGCTCTTTTTTGTTCTGATAATGTCTTGTTTCCGAATGAGCCAGCCCGTGCGTTGGAGGCTGGGAAGTACGAGGCAGATTCCGATCACCCGGAATTTCCAGGTTTCCCATCTCCGACATAATCCCTCTACCGTATGCGCCACCTCCAACCTTTTGACCAACAAGCACAGGCAATTTGATTCGAAGACAGTGCAGAACCACTGCAGAAGCCCCGTATTGCACAAAAAGATGGTACTGCTTCCGATCGCATAGGATCCACCTTTTTCCAAAATCAGGGCACAGCATTCGATGGGGATTTTGGTCGAGCTTTTACGACCCCCCCCCTTTTTTTCAGGGGGAGTTTCAAATAAATGTGGCACCTATGAAAGGAACCTCCAACTATCGTCACAGGTCAAAAGATTTCGTGGAGAAACGGCAGCACTCTAGCGTACGGTACGCTTTTGAGCTCTACAGTGATAATGCACTTCCCCATTCGAGAATCATTAAAGGTATCATAAAGTTGTTTTGTTATGATCACTGTTGTCTATCACCACGGATCGCGCCCTGCATAGGGCGCACATTGGTTGGGTCAGTTCACCTTTGAAGAGCCTTTGAGAAGTAAAACGTTAATGGCATTATCGAGGGTGTGGTCACGAAAATCCAGTAGCATAGTCCGGAAGTGTTGCGCGGCTTGGGAAACATTTCGTGTGACCTACCATGATACGCAGGGCACATCATTGGTTGGGGACTTTAATGGAGTCTGTACCACCCCCCCCCTTTTTTTTGGGGGGGGGGGTGGCACGACCCTCGCCCTCTGACCCTCAGTTCCTCCTCAGAATCGAGCCGACGATCGGGGGGGGGGAGGTGTGAATAGCACATGTGAAACAGGAAAAGCTGCGAGACAATATGACCCCCTCCCTTCTATTTCTATTTTTTTTCTATTTTCAGATTTTCCTCAACTTCCTGCCACTTTTCCGAAACTTCCCGAGAAGTTCCTTACTTTTCCCCACATATAGCACGCATGAAAGAAGAAAATCACCAAAAGTCAACCAACACTCTTACAACGCCAAAACGTAAATACTCATTCCCCCTCTCCCCCCCTCCCTCCCAACAATGACCAAGTACGACCCCCCCCCTTTTACAACGTCCGTGAAGCGAGAAAAATCAACTATCAAAATAAATTTTTCCCAGCCCAAATACGACCCTCTCTACTGAGGATTCCCCAATAACGATGTGCCCCGATGGTACGTCAGTGATAAAGTGGTCGTGCTATGTGCGACACGAGCAACTTTCTAGAAGTGTTATCCGTCGAGTCAACTGTTAGGAAGCAAGAGTAGGTTAGATAATTTCTACGCGTCGCCGCGACGTAGATCTCCTCACAATCAGAGCACAGTTGGTATCATCGCAATCAGTCGAGTCGCTTCCAAGAGGGATGAGACGCATTGCAGCAGGTCTACCACTAGTTGTTTTCTTCATAAATCGGAGTTGTTTTCTTCATAAATCGGTCTCTAGACGACCATATTTGTATACACTTTACTCTGAGACGGGGCAGGCGTGGCAACTAACTACTCGTGGGATATTTAAATTTCAGACAACCGCCATCTTGTTCTTTGTTGGAAAAAGACGTGACCACATTTGGGTCAAAATGAAAATGTCTTTCCAAGAGCACAGCCACCACGACGTTTAGTTGAAGTACGCAGCCACGCCTACCTCATCTCAGGGATTTCGAGTGTAGAGCAACGCCGCCGGAGGCGGGGCTCAGCCTGCCCTCCTTACACCGCTCCCTCTGCGCCTGATTGCGATATTACAAGCTATACCTCTCTAGGGTCAGTTAAAATGATCAAACGATTCTCTGCAAAAAGTACTAGAATCGAAATCATCCCTTGCTCGCACTTTAGGTTACGATACGTTGCTGTAACTGAGCACAGGCTGTGAAAATCCGCCCCCCCCCCTTCCCTCCCTGGAAGATTCACATGTGAGGACATTTTCGTTCTCAAATCATCATTGCTGCAGCTTTTGTGGCTCATCTTCTCCATGCAGGGGCCATTAGTGCTTCACCCCAATGCTAGCTTCGGTGTTCTCTTCTCGAAAAATAGAAGCATCTACCGGGAATGATTCCTTCGCCGCACTCTTCAAGAGGGTCAAACTGTGATATGCTTCTTCTTCCATTACACCTCAATAGACTCAGGATCGTTCAGCAAGGAAAAACCACGTAGACGAATAATTCCCATGCACTCGATAAAATTTGAATTGGTTCAAATTCCCTATCTTAGAAATTGCTAACGTGACCAGATTATTCGAGGCTGTGTGCGTAATAACCGAATTCAGCAGGACCCTGCATTCCCTAGTATTCATCCCGGTCATTGGACACATCGAGCGGAAAGCATAACATCAGTTAGGCATGAGGCTACGATGACTGCACGGTGTGTGCAATTACACATTTGTGCCTGGTTATTACCGTATCCGACGCCTAACTTTTAAAGAAGGATGGTATTTCCTGCCTCCCGTGCATATTTTGTACTTTCTTTTTTGCTTCTCTGATCAATTTGAAGGACTGTGCTGCTGGTGCGTTTATTCTATCTGAAGCAGCCCCAACACAACGGGATGTCCTCTCTCCATTCACCCTCCCACAGCGAACGTTTTCCTCTCGACAGCTGTATCTGCTAATTGAGTTGGAAATTTGTTCACTTTTACAAGTGTTTTGAAGGCTCCCATACTCAGTCAGCTTGAAGTGTTTGGCCGGCTTTTGAATTACCAGCCAGTACAGTATCATATTTCGAAACGTATCGGCTGATTTTCAGTTCGTTCTAGTGGTGGATTTAGAGACACTAGCTTACATTGTGGAACACTAAACGTTTGAATCAGGTCAATCGGAGTTGTGTCAAAAGTTCTAGTGTTATTTCGCGTATGTTTATTCGAAGCATGTAGAACACCGTTTTCCCAACGTTTTGTTCTTTAGAGTATGCTACATCAAACAGGGAGGTTTGCCATCTCAATACGATTACACTCGTCTTTAGCAGACAAATTACGCGCTGTGGCTTCCGGAGATATCTCAGATAGAAAAGCCAGTAGCGACAAGAGTAGGAGGGATGAAGCAGGCGAAGTTCTGGTAATTTCTACACTTTTTTCTCTTCAATGTGGGAATTGACCTACAGATTAGGAAAAAACTGGGAACATGTCAAAAATCGGAATTTTCTGTAACGTTATTACATGATTTGCAGTGAGTTTCGTACTGAAATCGCTAATATAGATATAGTACGCCTGGAAAAACTGTTTCCACGTCAGCGAACACCACCCTAAGCACATAGAGAAGTACGTGAGGTCTAGGTTCTGGCACCCAAGGTCAGCATCGATGACAACATCACCAAGTAAAAGCCTTCTCGGCCCCGTCAGGCATTTTTGGGAAGGCTTGAAATATGAATCAAAGGAAATAAATCAACTCGAGTGAGCAGTTCTATGCATTTGAAGGGATCTGGAGACGGGTATCCATGGATATCCCTAAAGCTCCTGTGAAGTCAGTTCCACGGATGACCGCTCTCTGCTCGCCATTCCTCAGTATTGTTATACGAGCTTAGGAACTGTTTAAAACGCGGTTTCTTGGCTTGTTCCAAGTTTTTTTTTTCGTAGCTGTATATGCTCATTTCACTTATTTTCACTCCCCGTGTAGCGAAGTGGTGAGCAATGCGTCATAACGATCCAACGGAAGTTACCGCTCACCCTAAAAATTTCTGCTTGCTAGTTAACATCGCACTACATCGATTCGCGCCATAAATGTAGTCGAAAGGAGGCGCTATGAATATATTTAACTTAGTTCTCCAAATTTATCGCGCTCGGGTGCTAACTGCTTTTGCCTTTCTCCAAAGGGGTTCGAAAAAGACCGTACTATCCTAAATTATCATGGACTAGAACCCTGCGAAATAGAGTGGTGGTAACTCTGTTGTTGCGCTCCACATTCAGCTTTTTAGTTGTGTGGATTTTCGATATGTTAAGGGTTCGTCGTTCAACGAAATGTTTGTTATGCCAAAGCGGAAGCTTCGCGGACAACTGCTGGTTTGTTTTCTACTTTGTACCCTGAGCTAAAGAGTGCTCTGAAGATGTTTCCATTGTTCAGATAGAACAGGCTACTGGACGTGTGAACTTAGAAAAGCGTAGTCGTCCCGACATACATGATCGTCTTGCTGTTCGAAGGCCAAGAAGTGAGGAAATGTCCACTGATCAAGTAAGTTTTGCCACTGGTTTACTGCAGCCCTCACTATCGGACGATCTTATACTTTTCCGTAACTTAGTTTTTTTGCCTCATTTGCGAAACACTCAGGATTGGACAGCAGTTTGGCCTGCAGCACGATCATTCGCCTCATCAGTGGTACCTCTGCCAGTGCGAATGGGGTTTCGACCTGATGCTGAGAGACGAGCTCCATTCAAGAAAGAAGTGTGTTCCGTTCACTCATTCAGTATTTCTGAACGTGATTGATTTCATGATATCGAGTGTGAAAATGGTAGCATTCCAGGGTAACCTTGAATTGGTGAAGATTCCCAACTTTCTTCATCTCACCCCTGCAGCCATAGAAAAGCATTGCAATGCAATCAGAAGTTGGTACTTTAATCCGATTTGTTACATGACTGCACACAATCACGAGAGGCTTTTCTTTAGAGTTCTGCACTAAATTTCCATCAGAATTGATATCAAACCAAAGCCTGGCGAGTTCCGAATTCCCTCTGCGAATAAGCTACAACACTTACGTTCATCAAGGTGTTAACATCCGAGATCACCGTTCGCGAGTGGTCACGCTACAGGTTGTTTTGTTATATTCTTCTTACTGTTTGGTTTCGCCAAGGTTTTGTACTTCTAATTTTTTTCTCAATTGCTCATACTTTCCTTGTGGTTTGTTGCGAAACAGAGTGTAACTGGGCTCACCAAAGGTTGTATTGTGTACAGTCATAAGGGCCAGTACAAGATAGAGGTGAAGTCTTGTGGACTGTAAATAGGACTCTGTGCCACTGCAATTCCAAATCGCAGTGATGTAATTACCAGTGTCTAGTGCTTCGCCGCACCATCGCAGCGACATCGCTCCGCACGCGCCACGTCCGGCCAGGACTGAGTTTTTCTCTCATACCTTCACCCCTCGGGAAGTGCCCAAATTTGTCAAGAGGCCCCGAGAAAAAGTGCCTACACTTAAGCAGCTCATGCTAATTTTCCTATTTGACAGACTTTTATGACTGCGCTAGTTCATATATGTTATTCCTATTCTTTTGTTAGACTGTTTCTTCAGTAGTTCCCGCCAATCTCTGGGATTTTCTTTTCCTCCGTTCAAGTGAAACAGTTTCATTTTCGAAACCCACTTGCAGGTGAAGCTGTCAGCCCTCCCTTTGTCTCCTGAAGCTAGAGAGAAATTAATTCGCCTTGCAACGAGTCGCTACGATGAGAAAACAGACCTATTGACTATAATCACAGATAGGTGCGTTCTAATTTCTTTTTGCTACTTTTGAAAAACTTGAAAGTATTTTGTTAAGGTGCCATACAAGAAAACAAAATCTAGATTATGCTTTCTACCTGCTCACCGCAATTTTCCACGAAGCTAATGTGAGCACATTGGTCTTATGTATAAAGAGATCACAAAGCCTTTCTCGCTTCCAAACCTTTTTCAGAAAGTAGAGCCATGGGAAGCTTTCAAGGAAAGGGCTGATAACCTCAAAGTTGAATTTGAAGGTTCGGAAAGCCAGAAGAAATTGATAGCGGTGCTAAAGCAGATAATATCAAGTAATACTCTTGTGAGTTTTCACTTCTATCATATTATCTGTTGAGGTTTAGATCTAATGAAAAAGAGAAGCAAGTTAGACAAACTGATTGAAGGAAACAAGACTTATGCTCGAACTTGTGCCATTTTTAGGATTCACCTCTGAGTAGTGTAAATTCCCCTTCTGAAGACCAAATTAACAGTAATCCAAGTGTGAGAGAGTTTGCGCAAATGTGGAATAAGTACGTCAATAATGTGAGTCATTCCAACGATTCTTCTACAAACTTTTTTTATCTGCTTAATGTATTTCGAAGAGTCGATAGAGAAAGGAGATCTGTACCAGGCTTCATGGTAGACAGTTTGTAGAACCACACGGCGGCGGCGCATGCGCGGCAATCCGCATACACCGCAGGCTTGCATTGGAGGGCGTACTGCCATAAACTCATTGTGTTACTGAATTTTAGATTGTGTTCGCTTCAGTTTTCGATCATGCTCTTCACCCTGAGGGACCTCGATTGTTGGGGCCGTTAGCTTTTGTTCTATTGAATAATAACCAGGTTGATTACACAGCAATGACTACGCAGAAACGTGCGAAGATTCTGCTTGCAAGACTGTCGCAGTGCTTCCTGAAGGGCATACTCTTGGAGACTGTTGTTATTGTCATACTGTTGAGGTGCGAAGCCCGTTGAAAAAAAAATAACGGCCAAATGTCGATGTCGCCATGACGAAACTATTTGGAGCGGACCGGTCGTAACCATGCGGTATTCGCTACCGTCGCGAGCGACGCCGCATGGTCCTTCCGTCATATATATAACTTTTCTCTTTCATTCACTTCGTTTTGGCGTTGGAGGGGAAGCCCGTTTTACTTCGATCTTATTATTTCTCTGAATATCATTGAACGCCGTTGCCTTTATAGGAAGAAACCCCAGAATCAACAAGAGAGTACGCAAAGAGCATAAGGCTTCTCCTCGGAATCAAATTTCCCACAGAACATCGAGCGTGATGCTTTATAGTTCTGGAGCATCTGATATGTACGTTTGTTTACTTCAAATATTAGAGCGATTTTGTGTTGTATATCATCGGCTGTACTTCGAGATTTGATTCGTCTATAATATCCATGTATCTTCAGCCTTTCTTTGTTTCTAGGTGATTCTGGAAGTATTGAGAGTATCAGGGACTTTTCAGTAGTCTTCCAGTTTTTTTCGAAATGTAACTATAGATAGTGCCTCAGCAAAATGTCAGAGCCACGTCCACCACGTATGAATGAGTTCCTCCCTCGTTTGTTGATTCCTTTTTCAGATTTGTTTGTGTTTATTGCAGTTGTTATTTCATATTATATCAAATTTCTCTTCTCTACATAGCTGTTTAGTGTTCGGAGTAGACATTGGTGTAGTCCAACATTACAGTTACTTACTGTCTTTATACAAACATCTGATTGTTGCATTCTGCACTCCTATAAATAACTTCCAACGATGTGCGGGAAAGCGACTTTGAGCAGTTCCTAAATAAATGATACACGACGTTCATACGTTAATATGTTTGATACGTTTATAGTTTTTGAAGTTGTTGCCAAAATGAATCTAATGGTGGATGTGGTCCTCGCCTTCAATCACTCTTTTTGCAATGCGCCACGCATTCTAGTTTCATTCGGAATTATATCGTCTTATTGAATGCGATTTGGCCTATACAATGATTCGTGTGCCAGAAAATGTAGCACTCAGTGTTCTTATACTCCCAAACGAATCTGATGTACGGTCCCCGTTGGTTGGCCTGTAGGGATCGGATCCGGTACTGGACCCCGGACCTCGCGTGTGCTAATCGTCAAAATGAGCTTGATAGATCCACAAAATTCCACAGCTCATTACTTTATTTCTCCAGATTCCTTCATCCTTGTTTTATTAAATTCCAACAATTATTACCCGACAAATAGCATAATTTTGGATTACAAATAAAGCCTAATCTAGCTCGAGGCAATACTAATTACTCATAATAAAGCAAAACCAGCACAGTTTATAGCAAAAATAACTCGTAATATACAACCATAGAATGAAGCCAATCAAAGGCCAAAGGCAACGGATTACAGCTATAACAACAACAAAGCCTGAAACCGCTGCCACGAATACACATCAAATTGTAGGCACTACATAAGTAAAACAATACTAAATTAAGCACAGATAAACCAGGCTAGAACGAAATACACATGTTCAGACGAGAGCAGTCAAGCCTTGAGCGGTGCAGTTCGGTGAAGGGGGGGGGGGATTCCAATTCATCGCTCCTCCATTAGTAGGTTTACAAGTTTCGCTTACAAGTTGAATTATTCTGAAGCTTACGGAAACTCGTCGAGCCACTATGGTGAAACCTATCAGCTCTTGTAACCTTATAATAAGCTCTCCAGATAGCTCTACACGTCGGTGGGGTATAGCTAAACTTCACAACGCCCCTTGTCGCCGAACTGCGCCCCCTGAACAGAATCAGCGATCAATTTGAGTGACTTTACGCAATACTGTACCCGTGGGCAGGCTTCCCATCTCCTGAAACAGATCAGCTCGAATTCAAGTTGTTAGCCCTGAGGGTGTAGAACATACCTGGAGGATCACATAAGATTCGCCCTCTGGCAACATATCGGTCGTTGGGATGCTATCGTACGGACCGAGGTACCGCGTCATTGACCTTATTGAAACGGCTGTTTATGTGTATTTGAAATCATCAGTGATATACTCCGACTCACTTTGCATAATACTTTCCAGGTACCAGATTCCTTTTTGTATTCTCGTCCAGTTCACTGTTGAGAGGCCGAACACCCGGCAACTCTGATGGAGAGATAGGGCGCGGTGGTGGGAATTCTCTCGCTGGGCTGAAATCATGTCAGATATGAATCAGTCGTTAATGAAATATTTACTAAATCTAAAATTACATTACAAGCTGTCGGACGTTTCGGAATATGCACTTGCCCGTTTCCCTTAGTCGGCCCATGCTCTGCAAAGTCAACTTCATGGGAAGGCATAAAAAGTGTGTATAAAACAAGGAAACTTGAAATCTGCGATGAAGAAAAAGAACATCACGGCAAGCAATGCACAGAACATTCCTTCTCACCTGCAGAATAAAGTAGGTATCTCCACTAGGAAGTTCTTCTTGCGTCGGCTCGTGGTCAAATGGGCCAAGGTACTGCCTCAAAGATCTGAAAACACAAATAGTTTTCTGGTGTGCATCAGCACAGCATTAGTACGGCAACTTTAACACTCAAGACTTTAAGCCCTTTTCATCCTCACCTCACTCTACCGACCCTTTCCCTTCATCGAGGCAAAACTGACTTACTTGGCGTAGTATTCGCCCGGTACGAGTTGATCCCTGATGGTATCAGAAAGCTCTTTTGGAATAGACCGAACACCAGGAAGCATGGTAGGCGACAGTGGACGTCTCTGACGTATCCAGAGCTTCGTTTCAATCTCGGATGGAAGAGAACTAAATAAAGGATAATAATGAAGCGGTTGGGTGAAAAAGATAGTTTCATACACGCACGTTCTACCTGTGGGCACCAGAAGATTGTCTCCATGAAACTCCCCCCCCCCCCATTTCACGTTATTTCCTTTTCTATTCACAGTCAAATATTAATCCTGTTTGCCTGAATCAGCAGTATAGTTTCTGGTTACACAAGGCCTACGAGAAATCCTAAGAATAATATGTCTTGTGGTTTCCAGTTGCACCGCAACTCCAGCAAGAGTTTAAAAACCACCATTGATTTCTTTCTGCTAGTCAAATAGCGACTGGAAATCGAAAAGCAATTTCTAGCAGATAACTACAAAACATGTCAAATCTTTTTGCAGCACTCACTTTCCATCCTTGGCACGCACGAACCCAGATGGTATCGGGCAAAAGGGATCTTCTGGAACTGGAGAAGTGGCGCGTTTCGACTAAAAATGTGTTGAAGATAAGACAAAATATAGTACAAACATGACCAAGACCACAGTTTTGTAAACTTCACCTCTCTCGTCCTATGAACCATGGCGTATGAGAATATAGAGCGAGGCAACCAGGTAGTCGTGGGCCTATACGTTATTTGCGGCGTTTTCTAAATCACGCGCCAAAACTACAACGCTCCGCCCACTAGGCCGATGCCATCTCGTACCAGAGGCGTAGCCCCGATCGCGGTGATCTGCGTGTTCGCGCTCCATTAAAGCCACCCAGGTCATAGCAATAAGGAATAGCTTGCGGGATTCATTAGTGGCTATCACATGAAGAAGTTTCCATCACTAGAGTTGGGCCCTGAAATTAAAAGTGCTCGGCTTGTGTAGAATGGCTGGGCGATATAATGAAGGTTTAACCAAGTTAGAGAGGGTCTGTGTCGTTCGGCGCCATCGCTTCGCCATTGACGTGTTAAAACATGCCAGGCAAACAGCCTTTCAAATCGGGCAACTCGTCCGAAATTCCAAACTAGTGCATTTCTCTAAGTGACCGTTAGTAGAGTAAATGGCAAGGCATTCGAAGCCAGAGCTCAGGGTATATCTAGGCTATCAATTACGCAAGCCTTATGCTTCAGTGATTCGGACGATTTAACTAACTTGGTAGACAAATCCCATTCCCAGCCAGACCACGTAAAGGCAATGTAATCGCCGCCAAGCGACTGCCTCCCAATTCTAGACAGGGAATCCATGGGGCAACCCTATGAATGCGTCATTTTTCTGTTTTTCTCTGCACTCTCACAACTACATAACTATGAGGGTCCAAGTGCGACCTTCATGAATGACGTCACCATAGCAGTTCACGACCCATTTGAACTTCCTCTGTAGGTTGAAATAGTGTGTGGACGAGTAGTTTCGAAAACGTCTTCCGACTTTCCAGGCTCTGAAGAAGGCGACAGTGCCGAAACCCAGCCAGTAAAGATCTGTTGACAATCTGTCAAGCTAAAACAAATTTGCTGACTTCATAAGCACTGTAACCTTCGTCATTCCAACATTTCGCTCGTCATAACCGGCTCATCGACTACGCATTTCCCCACTAAAACCTAATTCCCGGCTTTTACACCTTTCGATGCCCTCGCAGCCGTAGTCCTCTACCACTCTGCGTTATGGCCTTTTGCAGCAGGTCATAATCAAAAGTTCTAGTGTCACGTAACCAGGCACATTAAAGTTGGTTGTTTAGCCTCGCCTACAGTACGTTCCGTCAGATTCCGCTGGATGGAGAACAAAATATACACACCTTTGCTCCTAGTTTTCTTCCTCTCACCGCCGACGGTTTCTCTGTGTGCTCTCTAATGCTTTCTGAAGAATGGATACAACGAGTCCCTGCGCGCTGCCTCATTTGCGCTGAGAGGATCTTCAAGTACTCTAATCATGCTCTAATATGGTACCGAAGTTTTACAGCTTTGACGTTCGCAGATGAAATCGATCAACGGTCGAGAGTATAGTTTAGCACCATTCTGACACCATGCCACCATTTCGAGGGTCACTTCCTGAGAAGCTGGCGGCTGCAATCATCCATACTCTGGTTCGTTCACAGTACACTCCATCCATGGAGATGAGGAGGGCATGGTTACGTTCCATTTGAACATGGGGTAGGACGAGTTTTTCATGAATGGTTCATTTCGATCAATGTCATCCTGCTTTGTGCTCGGCAAAAACATAAATACAATTGTCCCGAAACGGCAATATACCATCAAAAGCACTCGCCCACACATAAGACGATGTAGCCACGCCCTCCCCATATCCTGGATGTGAGATATATGATCCGTTAATTGGCCGCATAGACCTTGAATACTTACGAGGAGAGTATAGCAGTATACCCGCTTCCATCGCGCATTTCATTTGGGGAGCCCGTTTCTATAGTTTGCGGCAGGTTACTCTTCACTGACATTCGCTGTTGCAGGTTTTGTGGGGCTTTCTAGGGAGTTGTGATGTGTTTAGGAGGATGCATTAGTCCACGGCAGCAATGTAAGGCTCCCCATTTAGGGACCCAGCAAAAAAAAGAAGAAACATAGTACATGTACAAGGAGATGTGAACAAGAAGGGACAGTTCGTTCAACCTCTTCTCACAATCAAACAGACCATTATACTTTACCAATCCCATGAGGCTCTAACCTGATTCCTGGATTGAATTTTGCCAGTGCTGAGAAAACTTACGAGTCTTGAAGACGACTGATGAGGAACTATGCTCCATCCTCTTCATAAAAGGAAGTGAGAAGTGGTTTTAAAATCTCTCAGGTGTGGCGAACGAAAATTTGACTTCTGCTCAATCTTGCAATAACGTTGCTCATTAAAGGGTCACAAAATTAGCCTAAGGTTAGACTGCTACAGATCCTGGCAGAGGCGTCCAGAAAACGCCGCTAGTGTAACCTCAAGGCAGAGAGATGTACCGACTTATCTTAGCCACTGCCTTATGGATAAATGGAAAATAGAATAGCACAGCGTATTAATTGTTGACAGGTCATGTGGGTGAGGTCGTCATCTGGAATGTACTGAAAGCAACCAGCAGTATTATCTCTTACGACCCAAGTTGTTATTTGCCCGTTGCCCGTTCTCTGCTTTTAAAAGTAGTTACGTAAAAATGCTGGAAATAACCTGCCCACCCAATCACTCAGTTGCAAAAGTAGTAATAGTTCATAAAATCAGCAAAGCGAACATGCATCTGTTATGCACGGCTAATCTTCAACGTATATTCTATGATTAGCTGGCAAGTGCAACGATTCCTATAGCTCGATAGTACGTGGTAGTACGCGTGGACCCTCTCTTTCTTACAATGCCCTTTTGCCGATACATGAAATCGAATGGCTTGTCCGTTGGTAGCTGTGTCCTTTCTCGTCTGTCTTCCTTCCTTCATTCGTGCTCTAGTCTCTCATTCACAGTTCACAGCATTGATGGGGATTTTGGTCGAGCCTGTACGACCCCCCCTTTTTGGGGGTTCGGTACGACCCCCCCCTATACATAAACTTATGAAGTTTCTTCCCCCCCCCCCCCGAGGAGGAAGAAACTTCATAAGTTTATGTATAAGTAAGCGCGAAAAATGGAAAAAGTAACAATCCTGAATGAGGCCCCCCTCGCTTTTTGCTCATTTCTATCCTGATTCAGAAAAGAGAATAGAAAAGAAAGGCCATTAGGTTTCACCCACCTTTCCTCGAGTCAAAACAAACTCTGGTACCTGAATCAATTGCAATTAAAAGAAAAAAACAGGAAATTAAGCCAACTTCCTCCTAAGAGCACTCTGAGCGGTCCAAGCAAAATTGCTGGGGCGCGCTCTGACGCGTATTCGAGTAAACTGAGAAGAAGATAAATATTCGATATTCGAGTAAACCGAGAAGAAGATAAATATTCGATATTCGAATAAACCGAGAAGAAGATAAACACGAAAGAGTAAATACGAACGAGAGCAAACCAGCCGCAATCAGCTGATTAAAGGCCGAGGTACCGGGGGAGGGATTCTGGGCAGGACCAGCCATGTGGAACGCGAGTTTTCAGCAAAGTGGGGTGTCTTTGAAGGACCATAACTTCCTCAAAAGCGGACCTGTGGGGAAGAGGAGACCGTATTCGTGTAGAGGAAGGTTTGCACTTCCTAAAAGTACTGAAACGTTTATGAAGGTCGCAAAAATCACAGAGAAATCTGCCATGGGGATTCGTTGGGGTGATTTCAACTGAACAGGTTTGAATCAATATATTTTTTTGTAACTCAACATTTCACAAATCTGAGATCGGTTTCGAGTGTTTGAAGCACTCGAAACCGTTCCCAGATTTTCTCTTTCTAAAACCTCTTAAACTGTTTCTGAAGTTCTCGGGATTCGTGAGATCTCGCGATGGGGATTTCTTGGGGAACACTCCCAGCTGCGCGAAAAACCCGTTTCCTGTGTACCGTTTCAAGTGAGCGTGTTCGAATAACCAGGAACGCATGAAAAACGTATCCTGTGGTGGAGCAGGAGCAGAATATGGTTCGTTTAGCGCCGATCACGCTGACTTTGGATGCGCCGCGCACTGAGGTCCGCGCAGAAGTGATGGGATGGTGCAACTTGTGCGTAATGTCTGTCCACGCGAGCAAATGTGTCTATAGGATTCAGGGAGGTCCATGGCGAACCTGTGCACTTGTTTACAGTGTTTTCCGTTGCGTATGATGGAGCGTGTCCCTGTCGACGCCGCCAGATTCGTGCTCCGCCAATGATTCCGATAAAGGAGACCAACTGCTGGAAAACGTCTGATACGAGCGATATGGTAGTCCTGTCGTTTGTCGAAAAAAGCAGGTTGGCTCAGCGCCAAGCGCGATCGCGGACGCGCCCCATCATCCGCAGCGAACCAGAGTATGAGTCACTTACGAGATGATGTCGACTTATTAATATTTCCAGTTATTTCGGATTAGTTTGATGAATGAAAGTTTTGTACTATTTTTTTACATATCCGAGTTCTCTACAAAGCAAGTTTCGCTGTACAGGACTCAGCACACTGACGCTCGTTACTGGCTACCGCACTCATTACGACCCCCCCTCTCCTGGCGGCCAAATACGACCCCCCTGTTGGGGATTCCCCAACCAATGATGTGCCCTGCTCATCCATATGTGCAGAATTTTCTCTGCGGTCCTCGAGAAGAACTATAGAAAAGAAGGTGCCAGAAGCAAGTTCTAGAGGTTTTTTCTCAATGGCGAGCCACCCGCGACGTTGTGTAATGCCCCTTTTGGTTTTCGATAAGTAGCCTTCGTCTTCTCCATAAACGACTGTAACGAAGTACCGTAAGCGAGACATCAAATGCGTAGTTATGGGTGATGCTGGGCTCGCTGGGTTTGGCAGAGAATCTGGATTGTTCGAGACTTGAGTAACAGGAAAGACCTTTTATTGGAAGGGATGGATTGGCTTCAGCTTCAGAGCCATGAAACAACGAACTTGGTGACAACCAACTGAATCAAGATGAAGGGAGATTGTGGTTGGTCTGTCCGATACTCGCGAGATCCAGTTTTGAACTCGATGCAATTGGTAATCGATTTCGAATTATCTGGCACCTATCACGATTCTCAAGGAATCACCCTTGTCTTAGCTCTGAGTTATCAAAGGCTGAATTCCTCTTTCCTCTGGTATTCACTGACTTCTACTTTCGCGGCTCAAAAATACGTGATGAAGACTCAACTCGCTCATGACGAAGACAAAGCTCCGTCCCTTGCCCAATACCACAGTGAAAGCTCATTTTTAACAGTGATGTGATGTAATGTGATGGTACGGCTGTTCTATGGCTCGTTCTTTCCGTTCCCAGTGGTGAGAAAGTGGTGAAAAGGAAGAAAATGTGAAAACTCCGAAACCGCCCTTTTTCCGTTGTATGCTCGCACTAACTCGCTTCAGCACGGAGAACTATCTGACATACTTCGGGAGTTTTGCTCTCCTCTTTCTCTTTTCTTCTCATAACCACTTTGTCATTAGTGTGGGGATACACTCACCCACCAATTTTGATCATGGGGCGTGCCTTCGGAGCTGAAAAGGCACAAAGACGCAGTAAATCAGTAGACACATCACAGGAAATTTTTCGCAAAGACGGCAAGAGCCTTACAAACTGCTCATCTCCACTTTCCAACAATGTGATAGAAATGAAATGAAGATCATGGTTATTTATTTGTGACACAGTAAGTCCGCATTGTAAGGCAATAAGAAACTAGAATCAGCAATAGCTTATCACAGCGACATGAAAATGAATTGCACGATGAATTACAGCCTAAAGGAATAGAGATAAAGGAGAATAAAATCTTCGGTGGGGATAATGAAGCAAGCCTCGAATCCCGTCATCGGGTATAATAGGCTTGGGTAACTAAGCAATAAAACTCGGACTGTGGCCTATATGTATGTCCAGTAGTTCCAAGTAATGAACACTCAAATGAAATTAAAGGAAGTCAGGTCCTTCTCAGCAATAGTTTTTCTATGACCGGGTTCAGACTTCGAATTTGGCCGTTGCGGCAGTGCACCGAAACGGTGGAGACCTCAGGTTATAGTCCGGCGATTTGATCGTGATCCAATCGCGCGATCGTGAAGTCTGAAAGCGGTCTAAGAATTGGTCATAGAACCCACATAATGGATAGCATTGTGAATAGCGATGATCAGAGTGATGTGGGTTTGTGCCCCTTACAGCTCCCCTCTCCCATTTCTTGAAGGCGTAATTCTAGTTGGATTCTAACCTGAACAGCATGGCATCAAAGGAAATCGTTGCGAAGGCTTCACTTTAAAAACCCCACCTGAGCCATTCGAGCCCTTTCAGCTTCAAGCTCAGCATTCTGTGCACGAAGACCTGAACCAAAGAATGATTTTCATTGGTTCCACTGGATAAAGTTTAAGGCAGGTGAAAGTAATAAGTGGATGACGAACAGACAGCAAGGACTGACTACAGCATGAAATCGGCTCCCGAGAACCATTGACGCTATGAGTAAAGAAAGGTGATAGGGACTTTTAGCACAGACCCAAGTGACCCTTCTTCAAAATTTATTAATTTATCTGCCCAATCCATATATGGCGTAAAAATGAGGCCAAAGCGAAACGTATCGCATCCTCATTTATAGTGAAGAATTCTACAGGAGCTCTCTGTGAGATAAGAAGAATAGGTGAGAGAATTGAACACACCCACCTTCACATCTTCGAGCCCAACGCTCCACTCCTTTCCCAAGTGTTGCATCTTCTTCCTCTCCAAGGAGGTCAGCTATTTGTGTATCTAATTGACGACGTTACCACGATTAAGGAGGAACAATTTTCAAAGCTAAAGCCTAGAGTCGGGGAAGATGTTATCTACGCACCGAACTGAGCAATAAACTGCTCCACATCCTTCTCGTCCACGTAGCGCCCTTCTGTTTGAGCTTCCGCAGTACTGCTTTTTCGAGGAATAGGTGCAGGAGGAGAAACTCGTTGCGGAACTGGTGGAGGAGGCGCCGTGGGAATCGAAGCTCAAAATGCACACACTGACAACCCTTTGACCAGAATCAAAGAATGCTCACCGGAGATGGATAAACCAGTCGAGTAATCTGTAGCTACAGTTGTTGAGTCAGAAGGCCGCCGATCTGCGGAGGACAGAGTCATTCTTAAAAATGAATTACGGTTTTTAGATCATTGCGATGAAAGCTCAATAAATGTCTACTCACCCAATCTGTGCGAGTTGAATGTTTTTCACCATGTCCAAACTTGCACTTCGGGTATGCCCTCTTTGTTGAGGACGGGGAGGAGGCTGTGGGGGTGGGCCACACGGAGATTTCAGCGCCAACAGCGGAACAGCTATAAACACGAGGGAATGATTCCCTGTTTGGAGAATATAAAACTTTCGGGACTGTACTTTGCTTCACTGCCGTTGGACGACTATCGACCAGCAACGGCGGAACATCGGAGAACTCAGCAAGATGGGTATCCTAGGGAAAACAATGACAAATAGAGGCAGAATAAAATAACACAAGAGCTGAGATGACTAACCTTTTTGCCGGGACTTGTAGAATGTTTAAGTGGTTCACCGTTATCAAATTGATCCCACGAACCCAGAGACGGATTACCTGGCGGGTGGTAGACATACATTGAAATATGCAGGAACTTCAAAGCAAAACAGATGAAACTTGTAGGAAAAATTTCATGCAATTTTCAAGAAAAAAAGCTAGAAAAGAAAAAAAAGAAAAGCTTTCGTCTTTGATTGAACCCTCTTATTATGCGCCGTTCTAGTCCCAATCAGAAATGCAGAGGCTCACTGAGTGCTATGTTGTCTAAGTAATGGCTTGAGAGGTTGGCCGATGAAAAAGCTACTGCTTTTATCCTCCCAACGGACGGAACTGATTCCATTTCACCGTCTACGAAGTGTAAGTTTGTTTGGCCTGAGAGGGATTCTACCCGGGACTGGACTCCTGGACATGGTACATGGGGCACTTATTACTACCCCCCCCCTCCGCCTCAATTCCAAGGCCACTGACAAGGGAGGTTGTTCAGTACATGGTGCGCTTTTTGAAAGCAGTTTTCCGCATATTGTAGGGGCACATACGAGAATCAGAAAACTTAGGTTCATTTTCTTTGCGCGCTCTAAAAAAGCGTAAAAAATGGTTTGATGTTTCGGATCTCCACGAGACCACAATTTCGCTTTCCTGTAAGTTTTTTTTTATTTTTCGGATCTGCTTGTCTGAATCCTTTGCCGCAAGAAAGAATGCACGAAAAATCCTACATTCCATTGTTCATGGAACAAAACTGCTTTCTTTTTTTCGAATTTGTTAATATTCACAGACCCAAGCTGTTCGGCGCCATGCCAAATGCTAAAAAATAAGTGTCAGAATTGCGAAGACAAGCGACTTTCCCTAGAAGTAACCAAAAATGTTTGACTTTCTCGCGTTATAATGGACCAACCATTTGGTCGGCAGTATAATCGAAGCAGCTTGAGCAGGTGACACAAGTAAGGCCACCTTTGCGAGCGTCGATTTCGATATCTTTTTATAACGATCTTCCAGTCAGCAACTAGTCGAAGTTGCAGATTTCAGCTCACAGAGGCTCAAAAACTATCAGTTTCCATCGCTTTCTCTTTAACTCCTTTTTTTGTCTCCCTGAAAATGAGCAGCGAAGATCGAGCTCACTTTCTAGGTAATTGTGTGACCTCTACAGTATGCAAAAAACCGTTTTCAGGAAGCACACGCTCTTAACGACCACCCTTGTCAGAGTTATGTTTTCGATGAATTACATATGAAATTGAAATAGGCAAACTTGGATATAGAAGGAAGTATCGTGAGGTGCGAGAAGTGAACTACAGCACTGATGATTATTTCTTTACTTACCACCAAATGTCTGCGAAATTTCTTTGTTTGTTGCAAGAGAAAGTAATGGATTCGCGCATTTTCAGCAGCCTTGTTACATGAGCAAATAGCAACAGGATTGGAGCAGAGCTCACAACTGTTTTTCCTACCCTACGCTGTGCGGCGAACCTCGAGATTTGTCTCAGAATTTGATGCCCATCATTTGAGAACTTTTTCTCAGAAGGTAAAATGATACTGGGTTGTATCAAGAACTCGTGACCACTTTTAGAATCTCGTATCAGATCTTTCCGTAGCCATTTCGAGATCCAGTTATCAGGTCTGTGGAAGTGTGTAAGGAAGCATCCCACTGCTTCTTTACCGTCCGTCGTAGTCGCTGTTCTTGGATCCAAAACGATGATTGAAGTCACCATTTCCGACACACTTCGCTATACGAGCCTTCACTAAGCCTCAACGTGGCTGGAAGGCACAAGCGGCATTCCTCTGAGTTGGGTCCTAATGGTAACCTCCATAGTAAGGCTTTAGAATGGTCCGATCGCTTTTGCTTGAGTGACTTCTACCTGGGAGAAAAACTTCGTCCAAGGCCACCTGCCTTGGATTTGGACCTACTGTGTTCCTTGATTAAAACCAATTCGTACAAATCAACTTGCTATCCAGTCCTTACACTTGACTGGTCCCAAAGCACAAATGAGGGCCTCGAACCCATAAAAAGTTTTCGGGCAAAATTTTTCTCATAAGTTGACCAGTACTCCAAGGGAAGCTCTTGTCGGTACTGTCTACAACTTCTCTTCCCCTTCCGCCAGGGCTGGATGAACAACGTTGCAACTGGTTATGGAGGACGTGTCTCTAGGTGAGTCACTCCCGGAAACAGAGTCACACCCGGAAGCACCAGTAGCTAGATCCCCAGAAAGGGCAGAACCGATCGCGCAATCCTATCAATCCAGTAAGGCGGTGAGACTGTGTATGTGGTGGGGTTTCTTTCTCTCTTTCCTTGAAGGCAACTTTTTCTCAGCACTGTGGTAACCAGCGAACCCTATTGTAATCAACTGCAAAAGGGGGATGAAAATCCCCACCATTTGGTCCCACAACCGAGCAATGTTTGCCTACTCCACCACAGCTCAGGGTCACACGTTTCGAAAACGACACTGCTCGAGATCCTGAGCTTAGCTGGGGAATTCCACCACAGTCTTCGTA